ATATTTATTTATTTATAAATTTACTTTTTTAAATATCTATTCTGAAAGATTATAAGATGTCAAGAATAATTTTTTTTGACAGTTAGGAACATCTACTCCACCATTAGTTGGAATTAACATTAGAGAAATTATATACAGTACACTTTTTCCCTTGGGGATGGGTATCATCTTACGGATGTTCATACTGAAAAATAAATGTTTCAACTTTAATACAAGTTGGTTTTCTCAAATTTTATTGCTGGCAATAGCATATCACTGGTTTTGCGATGCTGTTCTGGCAGATGCTTCATCGTTGCAAGCGGTGGATATACTATTTTGTGTACTTATTGGTAAGTTATTGAACTTGTACTTAATTTCTTAATTACTTCTCGTCTTGGATTCAATACTATATGTATCTTTTCAAGCGTGCCTGGCTCAGATCCTTCTTAGCAGCTTATGCTGGATCTTGTGCTCCCAGTGGTTACCGCGAAATGTTCTATTGGCTGCATTATTTACCAGCACTCACAAATCCGTTAGTCTCGGCGGTTGGATCTTACGTGGGGCATACCACGGCTCAGCTCACGGGCCAGCAGTGAATTTACCATTGAGAATATTACCTGTTGCACAATTGTTATTAGGTAGTTTGTTAGCCAGCTGGTTGGCTCCATAAAATGGAATTAATAGAATCATGGATAAATTTTAGAAAAAAATTTAACGAGATTAAATTATTAAAAGTTAACTATAAATAAAACATGAAATATTGAAATATACATAAATTTAATACATATATCAAGATCGTCAACATTTTCATATTTCATTATTTTAAATTTCTTAAGGACTTTAATTAGACAAACTTCACGCAAAGAATAATTTTTGTGTTATCAAATAGTTTTATTCGTTCGTTAATTAAATTATCTAGAATGAATACGTTTTAAAACGAGCAATTTTGCATATAATATGTTACTTATATGTTATTTATGATCGTTACATATTGTATAATACGATACTTACCTTGAAACTGGATGGAATGGTTTGTAAGAATCATGTATTACTTTTAATCTGGATTGAAAGAATTTATGTAAATAATTCGAGAAATATTTCATATATATATATATATATAT